TTTGTATTGAAAATTCTGACTTTGGTGTTGGTTGCTAATTGTTTTGAGTTCCAGATATTCTTCAGTTGTAAATATGCTGCTCTTGCTTTGCCAATCCGTGCCTTCACATCTGCATCAGATCCACCGTGTTCATCGATGATACTGCCCAAATATGTAAAGGTTTTTACATCTTCCAAAGCTTCTCCGTCAATTGTGATTGGATTGTTACATGCTGTGTTGTATCGAAGAATCTTGCTTTTCCCTTTGTGTATATTGAGACCTATTGCTGCTGAGGCTGCAGCTACACTGGTTGTCTTCTCCTGCATTTGTTGTTGCGTATGCGATATAAGAGCCAGATCATCTGCGAAGTCTAGATCATCCAATTGCATCCTAGCTGTCCACTGTATCCCGTGCTTCCCCCCAGATGTTGATGTCTTCATGATCCAGTCGATCAACAGGAGAAAGAGAAAGGGTGAGAGTAAGCAACCTTGCCTGACACCGGTCTTTACTTCGAACGACTTTGTCAACTGTCCTCCATGAACGATTTTGCAGTTTAATAAATCGTAGGAATTCTGCCTGATATTGACTATCTTCTCAGGTACGCTGTAGTGTCGAAGAGGCTTTCATAGTGTTGTTCTGTCCACGCTATCAAATGCTTTTTCGTAGTCAATGAAGTTGATATAGAGTGATGAATTCCATTCAATTGATTGTTACACAATGATCCGTAGAGTTGCGATTTGGTCTGTGCACGATCTATCCTTACGGAATCCTGCCTGTTGGTCGCGAAGTTGTGCGTCTACGGAGTCCTTCATTCTGTTTAACAATACCCTGTTGAAGACTTTTCGTGGTATTGAGAGAAGAGTGATTCCCCTGTAATTGTCACAGTTGCTGAGATCGTCTTTCTTTGGTATTTTGACTAGAAGTCCTTCTTTCCAGTCTTTTGGTACCTGTTCCTCATCCCAGATCTTTCTGAAGAGAGTTTGGAGTATCTTTGCAGTTACCGCTACGTCTGCTTTCAGTGCCTCTGCTGGAATGCTGTCTGGTCCTGCTGCTTTGCCACACTTGATTTGTCTGATAGCCATGCTGATTTCTTCAATTGTCGGTGCGCCAACATCGATTGGGAGGTCCGTGAGTGCTGCTTCGATGTTGGGTGGGTTCAGTGGGGCTGGTCGATTCAAGAGTTCTTTGAAGTGTTCTACCCACCTGTTTCGTTGTTCTTCAATGTTGGTGATTATCTTGCTTTCCTTGTTTTTCACCGGTCGTTTTGGTTTACGATGATTTCCAGAGAGTTTCTTTGTTGTGTCCTACAGTTGTCTCATGTTTCCTTCTCTTGCAGCCTTTTCCGCCGTCATCGCTAAATCTTCCACATATTTACGTTTGTCAGTTCTGATGCTCCTCTTCACTTGCTTGTTTACTTCTGTGTATTCAGCTTGTGCCTTGGCTTTTTCTGCTCTTGTTCGACTGGTATTGATTGCTGCTTTCTTGTTCCTCCTTTCTTGAATCTTATCTTATCCAATCCTTGTGATGGTGCTTCTTTTGGCCCAGAACCTCATGACATGTTGAAGTGATTGCCTCTTTTATCTCTTTCCAGTTGCTCTCCATAGTAGTTCCTTCTCCATTGAGTAGATCATGAAAGGCCTGGAACTTATTGCTGAGAGTTATCTTGAATTTATTGAGTTTGTCATTATCCCGAAGAAGAGCCGTATTAAACTTTTGTGCTGACATCCACCCCGTTGTCCAGTGCCTCTTGAGTTTCAATTTCATCTTGGCGACCAGCAAGTGATGATCTGATGTTATATCAGCTCCTCTCTTTGTTCTCATGTCCTCCATCGTCCTCCTGAACATTTGTTGATGCAGATATGGTCGATTTGGTTCTGTGTGGTGTGATCCGGTGAAGTCCATGTGGTTTTGTGAATGCGTTTATGTGGGAATATAGTGCCACCTATGACCAGTTTATTGAAGGCACATAGATTTGCAAATCCCTCACCATTTTCGTTCCTTTCTCCGAGTCCGTGTCGTCCCATGATTTCTTCATATCCGGTGTTGTCAATTCCAACCTTGGCATTAAAGTCTCCCATCAGAATAGTCAGGTCCTTTGTTGGGCACTTCTCGACGATTGACTGCAACCTATCGTAGAATTGATCTTTAGCGTCTTCATTGTAGTCGTTGGTAGGCGCGTAGCATTGGATGACGTTCATTGAAATGCCCTTTTTTTGTTTTGAAGGAGGCTTTGATGATCCTTGGCCTATGAGATTCCCATCCTATAAGTGCATTTTGTGCTTGTTTGGACAGCATCAATGCAACTCCTTGTGTATGTGGGACATTTTCTTCTTCATGGCCGGAGTATAACAGCAGCTCCCCTGAAGCTAGTCGTTGTTGTCCAACTTGCGTCCAATGTGTTTCACTGATCCCAAGCACCTCTAAATTGTATCTCCTCATTTCTGCAGCAATTTGAAAAACTCTCCCAGTCTCCCACATTGTGCGAGCATTCCATGTACCTAAATAAATGGTTGCTCTGGTTGTCAGAAGGGGCATCGGCCTCGTGACTTCCGAAAGAACTCAACTTTCATCATGAGGCGTCATAACTCTTCTAAATGAAAACGTTTTGACTCCCGGGGCAGAGTTTGAATGGTTTGAATAACGTTTTCTGGCTAGTGTCTTTAGCGAGTTAGTTTTCTACGGGATGGGGTCGCTAACCCCATGCCCAACCCTCCTTCTTTATCCGGGCTTGGGACCGGCAGTAGTCCCCTGAAAGGGACTCCAGGCGGAGTTCCATTCTGCTGTACTGATTATTATTCACAAACGGCTTATGGGTACATAAGTGTTGCGAAGAAACCACTTCGGGTTTCGCCAATAGTGCAATAATGCACAAGTTTCAAAAATATCAACACAATATATGCCATATTCATAAAACACACGTTCCTTGTAGTTGCGAAGCATATTGGATTCACTCTGAAAACAGAAAGGAAGAAAAAAGGGAATAGAAATGAAATAAATGCGAAGTACGTAGATAGCTTAATAAGTATGTTTGTGAACGCAACAAAATTAAAAGATTATGAAAGTATCGCTCAATAAACAGTAAAAAATAAGACATTTTTATAAATAATAAACACGAAAATAAACTATTGCAGTAAGATTATGTGTTTGTTCAGTAATGATTTGGAGTGGCGCTATGAAATTACCAGTTAACTGCAAAAGGATAATAAAATATCACGAAGTGTTGAGAGATTGCAATGTATGTTTTTATATAACCGGATTTAGGTTATGACAGCGGCCATTGTGAATAAATCCTGCTTTGTCAACATTAAGTGGCAAATTCCACGACTTATTCCATTCGAACAACTTATTTATTTCTTCTTGGATTATTGCAGAATATAGCTTTCCTTGAGAGAAGAGAATGAATAAGCCACATTTAGGTCACCGGCAAAATGGGAAAATTGAGCATACCGAAAGAGACAACACACGTTATTGATGGAAAAGATAAAGAGTAATGGACGAATTACACTTCCTCGAATAACCCCACTAGTTACATTCACAGAGTAGTGAGATCCAAAGTGTCGATTTGGCTGCGTTCCGCTCAAAAAATTTGAACTAAAATGAGAGGGGATCAAAAACGTCCATGTGCGATGTGAATCATGAGCGTTCAGTCATAAATCATTTCAGTCGGTGAAGATTCATAACCTCGTCAACTGATTTACCATCATTCCCTAATACTCTGCGTCTAACATCACTGTGACTTACCCGGTGATCCCAGCAATATTTCTAAGGCATGTGTGGTCAAATACTAGTAACTTACGAGTATCTTCTACTCCTAAAGGCCATGTTTCGCAGCCGTAAAGTAGAACAGAACGAACTGTCGCGCAGTATACTCGTCCCTTAATTGATAGACGGATATCTCGCCTTCATTATAGGTGACGTAAGTTGGCAAAAGCCAAACGAGCCTTTCGAATCCGTGCTGAGATTTCGTCAGACACCAACCCATTGGGGCTGATCAGACTTTCAAGATAAGTGAAGTTGTCAACGCGTTCGACTACTTCACTCCCTATCCTTAGTTCAGGTGTTGACGCAGACCAGTCCTGAAGCAACAACTTGCATTTAGAAAAGAAGAAAAGCATTTCAAGCATCCTGACATCGTTTCTCAGTGCTACAAAAACACTGCATTTTAATAGCTCTGACTCAGCTGGTAGTGTTCGAACAAAGAGTCTTCACAAGGCCTATGTACTTCTGCAGTACACTTTCCAACGAAAAACACTGCCACAAAACGTCTCTGTCTACATAGAGTCAAACGCTGCTTTTAAGTAAGGTAAAACTACCATTGTCGGATGCTAACAAGTATGTCTATTATGCTGGGTGTCTGATGGAAAAACCTTACTTCCGTAACACCTCTGCGCAGTCAGCAGAGAGTTCGCTGCCTTTAGTCTTACCGCTCTTCAACCGACCTGTCTGGCATGGTAGGACCTAGAGGAATGATTTTTCCAGCCAGTATAACTCGATTGGTTCATCATGATTGGCAAGCTCGACTACCACACCTAGGTAGAAACAACGGTCGTGAAAATTGAGGAGCGAATCTGGATTAGAACTGAGTGCCCCTCGATCTTCATTCGAATGCTTTACCGCTGAGTTATACCCTAATTCGCTATGTCTGGTGTCGGAAGATTTGTTGACATTTTATAACTGATCTTAGGCGAATCACTATTGAATGCTGGGGAGCACTGGAAGGCTATTTCGGTATAGAACTCCCCAGGAGTATACATCAATAAGTCCATCTCGGAGATCGGGGACATAATCTCTAGGCTTGCGCCAATGAGCCAAAATCAGATGGCGTAGTTGACTAACTTCATTGAATTCACGACATTGCACGACTGTCTGACATTGTCTAAATGTTCTCCAAATTAAAAATCATGTTGAAAACCGTCTGTCCATTTAAGCGAGAACAATTTTAAACCTAAATGTTATGATATAAACAATTCGTTAATTTTCTCTAGCAAAGTGCGTGGATTGACGTTTGATTGATAAAGAACAACTCGTACGCGGGTACTTTAGGATACCCGTTACAATAGTGGGCAATGTCGTTCGTTCCCAACTTTCCGCCTTCTCTTCTTCAACGCATCAAAAGCGATGACACAGGTGATGAAAAAAAGAGGAGCAAAGATGACTATAGGAAGATGAAGGAACTTGAAGAAGCCAGAAAACTGGCCGTGATGCCTGCAATGAAGGATGAAGAAGGACGGGACATTAATCCTCATATTCCACAGTATATTATGCAAGCTCCATGGTATTATGGTGCCTTGCATCCGACTTTGCGGCATCAACGGATACAAGATGAAAAAAAACGTGAGGATACCTCTGGCAAAATGAAGGGTTCTAACGCTCTTAATGTTTGGTACAAAAGAGGACTACCGCAAATCAAACAAAAGGTTACATTCTACCGAGATGGAGCTTGTGAAAATTGTGGATCTATGTCACACAAGCGTAAAGATTGTCTTGAGCGTCCTCGAAAAGTAGGTACTTAGTATTATAAGTGGCTTGTTGATATAGTTTTGGTACCTTGTTCTTACCCTAGTCTTAATTCCATATGAAAACTTGCGAAAGTTACTCACTAAATATTGGGTTTCTGTAATAAGTTCTGGCGGCAAGGTCGAGTGAAACCAACTTAATTCGCTGTCTATAGCAGTCGGATCCTAATTATCTATAACTGATGAGTGGGAGCGTCATGTAATGTAATTAGTATGATAGTCATTTTTGTCACAATTATCACGTAAGCTTTTACTGAATTACTCCCTCTGCTTTAGCTCCCACGTAGTCTAACCCTCGAATTTAAATTGGCCCATAGCAGTATCTAAGGCTCCACAATTGTCAAATAGGTCATATTACTCTTCTTTTTTTACTATGGATTCAGAAGACTTCAAGTTCGAATTTGTGAAATTGGTTTCGAGCCACATTGTATGAGGGCAAGTGATATTGCATTCACCCAAACCGAAGTAGGTAGAGCGAGATATCAACCTTTGGCTGGAAGTCGAAATTTTTGATCACTGAGCTACTGATCCACTATACTGACACATACCGTAACAGAGATTTGATGTGCAATCGCTTTTTGTATTGTCTCATAAATTCGTTACAATTCATCGTTCGTGCAACAGAACCAGTAAGATTTCATCCCTTGCGCTGTTGCACTAAGCTGAACGATGTACGACACATAAAAATGGAATATTATAAAAAACCAAGGAAATAAAGTGGATACGTTTCTTATACGTGGTTCAAAAACTTGTCAAATTTAGAAAGAGGTTCACAGGTTCTAAAATCGTAATGCATGCAGTAGAGGAAATCATTTATACAGCTACAGAATGGTCGTCCTCTGGTGTCTCAAAAGCTTTTTCAGCCTTGACCACAGCTTTAATATTGTTTATGTGCACTCCGGTTGTTTAGTACACAAAATGCCACTTGTGGACAACGACACGATGCACATAAACAAGCCTATATGGGAGTCTGTTCGCTCTCCAAACAACGTATATACTGTAGTACCTGGCTGCAGCCAGTGTTACTGGTGCTTTCATTATCCAGTCTGCGATAACTGTCATAATTTGCCTTATTTAGGAATTATATATGGGGTTTTCATCACGAACTGACGTCAGCTATAATGCCAGAAATCTATCTAACCAAATGGATGAAAGGCTTTCGCGTTCAAACCCGAGATCTGTTATCTTATACCTGATTGATTCGTTCACAAATTATAGTCTCGCCGTTTTATTTGTTATAGCCGCTCAATTATCACGCTTTGTACAAAATTCCCTGTGAACCGATCGTACGTTAGCATTAAGCACTGAAGTTAGCCAAATTTCTAAAACGCTTCTGATTGGCTCGTCCATAAATTAGAGTTTCGCCAGACGTATAATAGTTTTTACCACAAATATTTTTGAAATATTTCTTGTAATTTGGAACTTTTAAAGTGATATTTTCATTAGTCGTAGAGTACTAAATGAATATGCCGACGCGGTTGATGATGCCAGGTGCATAAGACGAGTTTAGGATTGCCAACTATAGACTACCTACGTTTGCTTGGCTGGGTTACACAGGAATCGGCTTGAAGGTTCGGAACTATCAGACCAAGGTGAAAGTTAGATGACTATCCCAAGGAGTTATATCATGGAATCCATACGCGGGTATTAATTCATCATTTTGATTTCTTTTTAAAGATGATACTTAGTTTATTCCGCTTTCTAGTTATATTGTCGGTTGAAATTCTGTGAACATTGGTTTATCATTTCCCGCTACCTGTTAATGTCTTCAAGAATTCGCGTTAGCTTGGCTTAGTAATCTCAAAATATTTTCTACCTTTCTGCGGTCATCAAATTTGGCGATTTCATTATATCAAATAAACCTCTCAATGAAAACCACTCCCACAAGCGATTAGTCATTTTCATTTGCTTGCCAACCTACGCATGTAACACCTCGTGGAGGAGCATAGGCCAACGACCACGATTCTCCAACCAACTCTGTCCTGAGAAATCCTTCCTGGTTATTTGCTTTCAGCTGTTTATCCTCTTGATATCGGTTTCCAATCGCCGACACAACGTATTAATTGGTCTTCCTCTTTTCCTTTTCCATTCAGGATTCCAAGTTAGAGCTGGCCTCGTGATGCAGTCTGATGATTTCCAGGATGTATTTCTCTTCCTGACTTCCAATTCAGCTGGAAGCTGGTTTGTTCTGTCATAACAGTTATCTATGCAATATTACCAGTGTTCGTTGGCCGGATATCAAAGGCATCAACCTTTTATGACAGAGAACAAACGATCTTCCGGCTGAATTGGAAGTCAGGAAGAGAAATACATCCTGGAAATCATCAGACTGCATCACGAGGCCAGCTCTAACTTGGAATCCTGAATGGAAAAGGAAAAGAGGAAGACCAATTAATACGTTGTGTCGGCGATTGGAAACCGATATCAAGAGGATAAACAGCTGAAAGCAAATAACCAGGAAGGATTTCTCAGGACAGAGTTGGTTGGAGAATCGTGGTCGTTGGCCTATGCTCCTCCAGGAGGTGCTACATGCGTAAGTAAATAAGTCTGGTATTATTAAGAGAAAGCATTTATCATCTAGTGGTTATTTTGACACTAATAAGATTATCGGCAGAGTTGCATGTTGTGCCACATTCACCTAATGCTTTTGATCAAAATGACAAACTTCAGTAGGTGTAGACAGCATTTTGTTTAGCCTACTTCGTTGCTACATTTACAAGAAATCAGAACCTTCTTAAACTCAGGAGGTGAAATAACTATGAACGTTTATTTATTGCTACTACGGACGTTAACTACACTTTTATTCAGTTCTAATCAACTCTAGTGTCTTGGTGGTAAACTAAATACCAACTCAAATACTAGGAGTCCAACTGTCGTTAGTCAACCTAAACCACCCATAAGGTAGGTAATGTTTATTTGTTTATAGAAAGGCAAGTGTATTGTCTAACAGGCTTCTCCATCTTGTGTGGCGGTGGTTAAGGTATTGGACATTCAGTCACTTATTTCCAGGTTCAAACCCTGCTTCACATACTTTGACTTGGAAGAAAGCTAGGGGCGGCCAGACCAAAACATGGCACAAATCCATGAAGTCACTGACAAGTGGACTGAGTCATGTTGATAGGTGTAGACTACCTGGTTGGGGACCGCGAGACGATAGCAACCGATGGTTAGAGACCTTGAATGACATGGCTCAAAATCGTTTGCAATGGCGCAGGTGCATCCACTCTTTGTGTTCTTTCAAACTCATCTTCTGAATTCCTCATGTCCTTTATTTTCTTTCCCAATTTATTCCACTGGACTATACTCCTTTAATAACATCATCAAACCTTAATGTCCCCTATCTCTACTTATACTTTCAGTACCTCTACCACTATGGGATTGGAATCGATAACTGAATCTCTGTGCTAATGTGGTATGGCAACTCGAACTGATGTACGTACGTACGAAGTTCCACGTTGTTACTGACTGACTGACTTGAGCCACCGGATAGTATAATCAACCCTCAAACTCAGACTGTGGCTCATACATCAGTACCTGATGAATGACTTAGTTCATTCTATTATTTATTTTTTGCCCCGATTTGACTTGAAAGGTGACCTTAGAAGATTGAGTGAACCCGCAGTTTGACAGGATTGGATGGTTGATGTATTTTAAACATTTCTGTGATTGCTCAATTTATTTGAAACTGTCAACTCAAACCTTGGTAATGATATCTACATTTTTGTGATTGGTTACTGCTAGGTTTTGAAGCTATCACGAGTTCACTTAATCTGCGAACGAGAAACAAGACTCGGTGACTAAAGATCAGTAAGCTAGCTATTGATGCGTCCCAGCCCCGTTATCTAGAGGGAAAACCCAAGCTTTGAACGGGAAGTATATTCTGCGACAGCCAGAAAACGAGCGATCACAACAAACAATTTAAAAGCGTATATATAATCGACATTGCCATGGAGATTTTAAACATTTAATCGATAAGCTCGTCAATCAACAATGTGCGTGGGTGGTAAGAAATGCTCGCGCATACGTCTGCATACAAGCTCCACAAAGATAAAATTACAAAATATGAGTTTTGGAGATCTATTGTCCCCAACAGTTACCTTAAGTGACTTCACTTAGCATCACTAATTACAGAACCTAACACTTATAGTTACATACAACAAGTTTGCTACTACAAAACCGGCTGTTATGAAATACGATACTGCAACTAAATACATATATCACATTAAATGCACCTCTTGGTTTTTTAGGTTGGTGCGAAATATACTGGTCTTGATATTGCTGGAGATGAGTGCCAGCAAGTAACCCTAGATTTGGACTACGAAGGTAAACGTGATCGATGGAATGGATATGATCCATCCGAACATAAAAGAATATTTGAAGAGTACCAGAGACTGGAGGAAGCAAGGAAAATAGCCAAAGCAAAAAAATTGGAAGAAAAATTAGCTAAGGCAACAGAAGGAAGTGGTGGGCAAGTGAGTATTGTTTTTTCTGTAGATATCCTAATTATTAAACGGGTAAACTAAATGTCTATATTTTTCCAGACTTATGGATAAAATAATTTATCTTACTTCAAGTTTTGGAACATAGACGTGTTTTCCAACGTCCGACCGTAGTTGTGTTCCCTGACCTTAAAGTAGTGTTCAACTCCGTCGATCGAAAAATCCTGTCAGTGTCTGTCATTAAAAGGTGTACCAAAAAGTGCGTCGGCCTTCATACAGACTCTACTCGAACACTACTGGTCGAATTGGAACTTGTGGCGAACTATCATTAGAATTATCATCCTCGTGTTGTTCGTCGAGACTGTCAACTTCCTTTATTTTCATTTAACTTTGTTATAAACATTTTTAGCGATAACTATCTGGTTATCTAGCTTTTCAGTTGATCTCATACCAGAAGATTCACTTACTGACTTAGAATACGTGGGTAACCCAAGACGTAGCACCAGTCCATGAAATCATAGACAATTGGAATAAGCCGTGTAAACAGATGCAGGCTACGTGGTCGGGGTCCGTGCGATTATCATAACCAGTGATTAAATGCATTGAATGACGTCGTTAGCAGTAGTACCGACAGGTGTACTTTTTGTCTTGCGTTGGATGCTAGATTCCAAAATGTCCTTATATATTGTTTCATTCAATTCATAACTTTTTTTGCTACTACTGTTTTATCCACAATCTGTATTTTGACAGAACAAACCGCATATACTCAAGAGTTTGCAGACAAAGATAAATACAAAATCCTAGTTGCACTTTCTGAATCATGTCTATTATGTGGTGGAAACGAGTCTATAACGTTTGCTCGCAAATAAAAATAGATGTTTCAGTCTGCGGCTAATTTTCTTTTCTAACAACTTGAGTGTTTTTCTCATTCTTGCAACAGTTTGTTTCTACTTAAAAATTCATTTTGTAATCAAAGAAGTAATGAAAATTTAATGGTGTCATTTGTTGAAGCTGTACAATCTTATTTATAATGTATTAGCAGATATAGTAATCTACTTAAAAAAATAGGTGATTACACCATAAAGCATCAGTATGGGGTTGTGGAGATTGTTGAGTTTTTATTGATATCATGAACTGACCAATGTTAGACGACCGTTTCTTCCTAATATGGGACTGCTCAGTGGTGTACATCCATGACTCCACACACGAAACTGAAACCTAGGAGTTTCAGTCTCGTGTATTGGTTGAATTTAGACATTAACACCGTTGAATGTCGGCTCACTGGTTTAGAGGTTAAGCAGCCGCGCGAAACCGAAGGTCCTGAGTTCGAGTCTTGCGTGTGGTATAGTGGATGCGCACTGATGAGAAGTCCCATACTAGGACTAAACGGCCGTCCAGTGCTTCCAGGTTTTCGATGGTCGTTTAATATTGGTCGATTCATAAAGCATTCGAAAACTTCACGTCCCAAGAACTCTGGGTAACTATCTAAAAGTTAGAGGAAACTAATAAGGCGAATACAAAGGTATGAGAGGCATTTATACACTTGGCACGTACGAAGGTGAGGAAGTAGTGAAGAAAATGTGGTGAAAACAAATAATCAATAACTTTGTCAATATGAATACACAGGGCTGATAGCTAACTACCCATGTTATTATATTCTGTATATGAATAATTACCGTTTATAGAGGAAAGTGTTAAACTTCGTCGTTAAGTTGGTGCACCTAAAGAAGTCGCTCCTCGTCCCTTTTCTTACGTGGTCTACTATCGTTTATCAAAAAAATTTAAGTATGTAAAGGTTTAACTGTGTAGATTCCAGTTTCTTCTGTTGCAGATTGCTTTGGTATGAAAACTATTAGTAGGCTAAGTGGGGAATGTCACGATGATTATGGTTGTGGGTAAATATTTGAAATTTGCCGGACAACTGCCCTATATTTTTCCCTTCGTTTTTCTAGTAGGACAAGATGCAAATATGTTAGAACTCATTCACCCAAATGAAAATACGAAAGCTCTACCTTATCTAGAACATATTATATGCACAGAACGGTTGAAAAGGCTGACATAACTAAATACTTACTCATAAACATTAATGCATTTTATTCGCCGTTGTAGGGGTTGTTTGTTGTTCTACAAAACTCACTCAAGTTTGTATGATTTTTTTATCTTCTAGCATATTTTTGTGGTTTATATAAAGAATAGAAGTTTCTGTAGATATTTTTTGATACAGATTTCATACTATGTTGAGTAAAACGGCCATTATTGCTATTAGAATAGTTGCTTTTCAGTTAAACTGCACATATTTAATTGAAAACTTCGCCCTAACTACTTTAGGTTGCGACACATTTTGTGGATCGTATTTCTTTTTGACTAGAAATGTCTAAACACTCACGTCAAAAAGCTGTGGAATTGCAGAGTAACATGACTAAACTTTTGTGGAATTTATATGACTGGTATTTCGGTTATTTGTCATTTCGCTTTCTTATCAGGAAGAACCTGCAGCCTCTGCCGCAAAACCTAGTTTGGATGACGATGGTGATTTCGATGCCGAAGATGGTGACAAATATGGTGACGAGTTAGATATGCCCGGGCAAAAGTTTGATAGTAAACAACGTCAATCTATCCGTAATTTGCGCATTCGTGAGGATACTGCTAAATATCTGTTCAATTTGGATCCTAACAGTGCCTACTATGACTCCAAAACTCGTGCTATGCGTGGTAATCCTTTTGAAAATAGTGGAAAACCTGAATCCGAAGTTCCTTTTGCTGGAGATAACTTTGTTCGTTATGATGGGGATGTTCAGGACATGATTGATCGACAAGTATTTGCTTGGGAGATGCATGATAAGCTTGGTTTAGATGTCCATTTACAAGTAGGTGTATTTCCAAAGCTAATATTCATTTGTGCTTTTCATGACCTTCCCACTATTTCATTAATAAGAATTCCACGGCTGGTTAGGAATGTTGTGTTGATTTGGTGTGGCAACTTAGGGTATTTCAATTACAACTAACTAATATACAACACTTTAAACCAAAAGTCGGGTTCTAATTTTGTGAGCACTGAAGTGACCTGCGAAATCCGTACCTTCCAATTACTTGTTTTCTAAATAACCACATTATTTCGTCAGGTACAAATCCGTATTGTACTGGGCAGCTGTCATGTCTTCCTGATGCCAGTTCATTGAGGGCGTACATCGAAAATCCAACCTCGTGAGTACTGCACATCATGTCTGTCAGTATAGTATCCTTCATTTTAGCGACCGACACTTATTAGAATTACTAAATTTTAATACTCAACAATGACTAATTCAGTGGTTCATTTTTTTTTAAAAAAATACTAGGCAGATCCAACTCGTCTGGAGTTGTTAGCTAAAAAAGTATCCAAAGCTAAATGTGATGTCCAAAACAAAGTACGTGCAGAAATTCTTGAACGTTATGGTGGTCATGAGCATTTGGAATCGATTCCGAAAGAATTAATACTTGGTCAGTGGGAATCATATGCTGAGTATTCTCCTACTGGTCGTATGATCAGGGGAGCTGAAAAACCAACAGTCAAGTCCCGTTATGAAGAAGATATCTTCAACAACAATCATACAGTAAGTGTTCATCTTTTCGTTTTGAGAACTAATAATATTTCTGATTTTTCTCTGACACTAGGTGGCGTATTCTTTCGTGTCTACACTAAAGTTTCTGTAATCCAGTTTTCTGGGTATCTACCCCATCTTTATAATAAAATGCTTATAGACGGTAGTTGTGAGAATAATCCAATCCTCTTTTTGAAAATTAGTTGATTCGTATTCTATGTAGAAAAGTCTAGTTTTCATTATGGAGTATTTAATACAATTAGATATGACGCCAAATTGTGATGGTAAAGCAACAGCCATAAACGTGGTTTTATTTTTTCACGTCGTTCATATCATTTTTCTCTTGCTTGTATGAGTAAATTTTCCGCATGTATATATGCTGAAGTTTGACAGCCACTTTTAGTTGAGATATTTTAAATGGAGTTGTTTGACAGTTTATTTGCGTAGTGCTGAAATGGTTGTTTTATTCCATCCCGGAGTTGACTATAATGTAAACCGACAGACATTATGTTAATAATACAAACAATTTAGAAACTAAACTTCTTGAATTTTCATTTTTTTTCAGAGCGTGTGGGGTTCATATTGGTTTAATGGTCAATGGGGCTATCGATGTTGTCACTCGCTCATAAAGGAATCTTACTGTTTAGGAGAAAAAAGCAAAGAAACAAGTTTCCCGGAAGTCCCAGATGGACCAACAGCTGTGGCGTTGCTGAAGCCACCACCTATGCCTACAGATGTCGACACTAACTTTGACAATAAAGCTAACCTGGAGAATAATACAAATAGAAATGTTTTGAAGCACAAAAAACGAAAATATGCCAAAAACAAGTCTGGTTCAAGTTCTAGTTCAAGCTCATCCTCGAGTTCCAGTAGTGATTCTTCGGAAGAAGGAATGGTGGATTGTGTAAACAAGAATGATCACCTTCGGGAAACAGTTATGGAACAATCACGTTCGGATGGAGAAGTAGAGGAGCATCCTACAGATACGAAAACCATAGAAAATAGAAATAAAGAACTAGTGAGATCGGAAGAGCGTCGTGTGCGTATTCGTGTTCAACGTGCTGATAAAAAGAAGAAACGAAAAGATCATCTCAAAAAGTCCTCTAAAAACAAGCACAAACGCAAGCGAAACGAAAGTAGCTCAAGTTCTTCCGCGGAATCAGTGGAAGGTATAGAGGAAGTGCAAGAACGGCTAATTCAAGAAGCAATAAGAAAAGAAAGAGAACGTTTGAAAGCCGTAGATGAATATCTTGCAATGGATGAGCGTAAACGACCATATAATTCACTTGCTGACGTTAAAGCCCCTACTGCAGAAGAGATGGAAGCTTATTATCGTACTAAAGTAAATCGCGATGATCCAATGTCGCATTTTGTATGACCAACATTTGAATGTGTGTTGTACATATTAATATCCATCACTTTTATTTGCAATATAAATTTATCTTATTCTAGTTTAATACAGAATTGTAACTTAGAATTAACAGAAATACCTCCAGGGATAATTTTCATTAATAGCTGCAGAGAACAAGTAAGATGTTGGAAAATTAAATGCTTAAATTGGTTCTTATGGTGTCAGTTAAGAAATTGTGAATAATGTACTCTTCACTTGTACAGGATTTTCTAACATTTTGCTTTAGGATTATTAGCTATGCTCTTCAAGATACCGTTTCCGTTGTTGTTTGTAGAATGGCTTTTCAATAAGAGAATCTCAACTAAAAGGTTTTCCGATTAAGCATTCATGTAACCTTGGTATATTCACCAATTCAAGTAACCCCTAAGATAACGGAGATTGATCGGATTCAGTCATGAGTACGGACAATACCATCGTTTACTTTACCGAAGTTATTCTGGTCTTTTTTGACTATGTATACAGACATAATATCTACTCAAAAATCTTACGAAGGCCAATCTTTTTTCGAAACATTGTTGCGTTTATCCGCTATGAATCATGTTCTTCGATAGTATTCGACATACAAACGTTCGATCACTAATCGTAAACTTCTTTCAGTAACCAATCTGTTCGCCTTGTTCTACTTCAGGCTCCAAGCAGTCAGCTATGACGTAGGACCAGACACATATATGCATCGGTTCAAGTTGCCGCACCTCATTAGCACAAGGTGAACATCAAATTCATAGTAGTTACTTCAATGGTAATAATATATAAAAAAGATTGTGCATAAGGATATAATACAAAAAGAAAGGATTAATCCGTAGAAAGCGAGATATGAATTTACTTTAATATCATAGTTTAAGGGAAGGGAGTATATACACCTACGCGATTGTGTTCGATTCTGAGCCATGTCACCAAGAGTCTCCAACCATTGGTTACGATATTCACGCGGACTCCAACCAGGCAGTCTGCATCTACCAACATGGCTCAGACCACAAGTTAGTGACTTCAAGCACTGATGCCACGTGTTGGTTTGGCCGCCCCTAACTTTCTTCCAATCATCCCTAACACTAGTGAGCATTGCGCGTCGTGGTAATCAGTGTTCAGGCATATGCAACACGTGACCCAACCATCTCAGTCGATGAAGATTCATAACCTCGTCAACTGATTTACCATCATTCCCTAATACTCTGCGTCTAACATCACTGTGACTTACCCGGTGATCCCAGCAATATTTCTAAGGCATGTGTGGTCAAATACTAGTAACTTACGAGTATCTTCTACTCCTAAAGGCCATGTTTCGCAGCCGTAAAGTAGAACAGAACGAACTGTCGCGCAGTATACTCGTCCCTTAATCGATAGACGGATATCTCGTCTTCGCCAAACGAGCTCTTTGAATCTGTGCAGAGAAGGCTCCAAACAATCTAAATCGATATATTAGACGTAGTAATTTTGTTAACGGACAGACTTTTCCATTTCATGCAAACACCAATTATAACAAATCATATGCATAATTTATATATTTTGCTTCAAACAAAGACGTACTTTAAGAATACAAACAATTGCGTAAAATTGAAAATAATGGATCGGGTTATATCTGTTCACATAATTATGTTCAAAAAGAAAACGGTGTCAATATCAATCACGCATTAAGTTTGTCACCTGGTGAAAGAACAAAAACAACATTAATTACATAAAAGGAACATGACAAACCTATCATTACGCATTGAAAGCATTAAGATTATAAACATACTTAAGTGGAGTGATGGTTTGTAATAAAATCTCGAAATATCATTCCTAAGTTTATGGTTCTGCTGCTTTAGGGCACTAACACATACTGCATGATTGTAGTATCAAAAAATAAGATACATTGATTTCAGTCAGTAATCGAATAGTTACCTTGATTCATCGCATAAGCTCATCTGATGTCTATTATCACACCCTTCAAAATGATGGTTGATGACTCAAGTTATTGACAGGCTCCTAATTTGATTATCCAATAGAGCTGAACTGACAAGAAATGACTGGATACGACAAAACGAAAGACCGAAGTGTAACTGCTAGGTTTGAGTCAGTCTGTTATGTGCAACGTAAAACCTGATACATTTGCATTGGGTTTTAAGTTACTATGCTACATAAGTACAGCTAGATAAAATTCTCATGACAAATCCTATAGTAGTGGAAAGGAGTTAAAAGATTTCGAGACTCAGATTTTACGGAAAAGTCAAAGATTGGATTCATCTGCGTCATCATAAGCAAACTCTAATTATTCGTTACGACAAATACGTGGAACCCCGACCAGGTAGTTTACACTTTATTTTATTTGAACACATAAATATTGGTACAAGAGGACACCATATATATATGCGCCACACAAATTGATTGTTAATTAAAGCAAGAAAAGTATCTTCCATAAGTATCAGCATTTCATCATATTTGTGTGTGTGAGCTGTGATGCTGCCCGAGTGCCCAGACCGAAGCAGGTGGTTTTATTAAGGGGCCACACCCCGAGCCTTTGACCTAAAGGTCTGACCCACAAGGCAATGGAGCATCGTGAGGAGATGCAGTCCCATGGTAGCCGGTGACCAACAATTGGTTCATACGCCATTCGTTCCTTCAGGATACTGGAACCCACGTGCACCATTGGTTTTGGATCCAGTTAAAGCGCTGGAAATTCGCTTTTCGTCCTCTCATTTTCGCGGGTGTCCCCACCACGAGAAGTCAGTGAGTAGGACTTCCCTGGCAGAGGCTGTATACGCGTGGCCGTGTGAGAGTATTTCGAGAGGGAAGGCGAACCCACCCCACTCTCGGCCATACCAGAGCATTTGGGGAAACCACAGACGAAGGATGTTACGTAATGAAATTGGGCAAAGCTTGCGTAAGGACAGAGAAGCCTGGTGGTCGGAGCGTGCTAATGAGCTGGAAGCAGCAGCTGCATCTGGTAATTATCGGAAGCTCTTCCAACTCATCCGAGCCACTGGCAGCAAGAAGTCTGGTGTGAGCGAAACAATCTGCGAGGATGACGGAACGCCAATCACTAACATCCATTGACGTCTTGGACGATGGGCAGAATTTTTCGAAGGGCTGTTCAACTACCAATCACTCCATGAATTGGTGTCATGTTTAGATTCGGATGTTCCTAGCTTTGCTTGAACCCACTCCTACACCTGATGACATTGCCTGAATGACAGATACTGATCCTTACGATCGACGGGGTTGAACACTATCTTAAGATCAGGGAATACATTTATGATTAGATGTCGGAAAATACGCCCGTGTTCCAGAACCTAACGAAGGGAGAAAACATATTCACGTCCAGGTCTGAACAGTGTTTTTATGCGATCTGCCCTTCACGAGGACTAGTTAACCGTTAGATTATTTAGGCTAAAATTTTTAACACGACATTGGTCGAACTGATTCCTTTGTCATTGTCACAATCAGTGATTGAGAATAGCCCAGTCCTTTCAAGATAACTGCTAAAATCGATCTACGATCCTAAAGGATTTCCGGAGATGCTGCTTATCACTGCCTTATATTAGTGGGTATCTTCAACCTCACTGAGAGGTGGGGGAGGTATTAGGTAGTTGAAGGGCAGTCGCCTAAAACGACTACCCATCGGTCTAATTCCCTGAATTGAAAGCAAATAATAGTCCCATCTTTTTCTGAGATAGTCTTACTAAGAGTCAAATTCTTCATATCTGTTTCCTTTATAGGTTGCTAGAAATAAACGGTTATTCAAAAATGGATGGAGTGACCGGTCACAACTCGGAGAACACAAACTTAATCACACTTGATGAAGAAACTCTTGTAGAGACTCTCACGTATCTAGTTAGCATCATCGATGAATGTGAAGGATCTGACGCAGATGTAAAGGCAAGGATTGGCAAAGCAAGGGCAACATTCTTACAGTTGAAGAAGATATGGAACGCAAAATAACTGTCTGCAAGCAACATCAAAGTCAGAATCTTCAATACGAACGTCAAGACAGTCCTACTGTACAGAGCTTAAACTTGGAGAACTACCACAACCATTATCAAAAACGTACAAGTGTTTATGAGCAATTGTCTACATAAGATACTCAATGTCCGTTGGCCAGACACCATCAACAACAGCCTACTGTGGAGAACAAACCAGCTTAGAAGGGGATAGGACATACATTACAAAATCATCAAACTGCATTACGAAGCAAGCGCTTACATTGAATTCTGAATTGAACAGACATTAAAAGCATAAATAGCAACTGGGAAGTGGAAAGGATTGTCAAGGTCAGAGTTGGATGGAGAATGCTGGTGGGCGGCCTGTGCTCCTTCATGAGGGGTAACAGAAGCGAGCAAGTCAATCACTAGATCAAAATTTGACTACATGAACTGCTATTATTGATTAATTCGGACAAACTAGGAATGTGATTTACTCATGACTGTTATGATTCAAACAACGAAAGATCAATAAGATAAAATATAACCATCTCATAACTATAATGCTAAAGATAGGTCACAAAAAGAACAAACCTGAATTGGAAGGTTGTATTTCAGATATTTCATTAAACATAAATTCTTGCTGATATTCCTTGAGTAAAACAGTCGATCGAGCCTCATCCATAAACAAAGAATACACCTTTCGTATATCTTCTTTACTGACTTCTAAGCCCTGAGATAAAATAGGAAAAACATAATCAAGAGAAAACTGATCGCATTGAAAACCTAGTAGAGTCCTAATTAAAATTCGGTGAAAGAACTAGATATCTTGATTCAAGCAATCGATCGATGTAAGTTTAAAAATAGAAGATTGGCTTAAACTACACACCTGATCTCAAAACTCCGAACTTAAATGTTCCGTTGAACGTTGTGGGACTGTAGGCTAATTTGCTGTAATTTTCTGGAATGTAGCTTAGATTAATTAAGTGGACTAGTAGATAAAATGCCGCTATTCATGTGCATAGTTACCGGAAAATATGAAAATATTCTATACAAGCGGCTTTAGTACCTGAACCATACACCACTTTAAGCAATATGCTCAAAGCAATTGATTAACATACATTACAAAAATTCATAAAACGCGTAGCAAT